TCTTAACTGTGCAGGTCTGTTACACAGAAAAAAACTACATCCAAGTTCGAGTACACAGTGAGGTTCATGATGCAGATACCAGGGAGAACCAGACAACCAATATCTTCCATTTTACATTTATATCAGAAAATGAGGTCCCACGGGTTGTCCCCAAAACTTATGGAGGCAAGTATCCAATTACTGCATTGCCATCATCACCTGTAGACAGGATGTCTTTCTTTCTGTTGGAACATTTGTTATTTTAATAGATGAACTATTGGCATTTGAATAATTTAGCAGGCAAACCACATTTATTTCATGCTTTGATAACAGTTTGGATTGCTTCTTAATTGTACCATTCTGTGTAGTTGCCCAGTATTGATGCTGAGTTACTAACGTGGTTCTCTCTTTTCTCCACCTTATTTCAGAGTCCATGTTGTATTTAGATGGGAAGAGACACTTTGCTGCCATCATGAAAGAAATCTGACAGGCACTGGATGCTGTGTCAGCAGTGTAGCAGCATGCTGTCTTGGAAAGAGTTGTCACCAGAGATGACTAACAGACAGGTGCTTGTGATACTAAAAAAAAACACAAACACTGCAAAACAAAGCAAAACCCCAAGCAAAACTTCACAATGAAAAATACCTTTTTATTGCTGTTTATGCATTTGCATATATTTGGATTTTTTATGCTGTGCTACTAGAATTTGTTGAAATCTACTTTTACATGCCAATGCTAGGAAAAAAGACTGACCAAAAAAATCTGAAGCATTAGACAGTTTCTCTTTGTCTGCGTTGAGAGATCTGATTACAGCTTTTCCTGTCTTGTCACTGTCTTTCTCTTAGCAGCTCTCCTTTGGGTTTCCCTGATAAGGGATAGAAGTTCTATCAGAAGAATGTATGCAATAAGTAGATACATTCAGAAGAAGCCATTTGATCTACGTTCTTGTGTAAATGAAGTTTAGGGTCTTATTTTTTTTAAAAAGGACACACACATCTGGGCAGCAGCATAAGCTCAGAAGTTACTAGTGTGGGCACAAGGTAAAGCAGGTGTTTCCCCTCAGCTGGGATTTTCCAAGGTTGTTGCAGCTTCTGTTTTGGATGGTTTCATGTTCCCTTGGGAGGGAACTGATTTTTGCAAAGAAATGACATAGCCAGATGGTCTCTCCTGGCATTCTGTTTGTGTACAGCCAGCCCTTGCCAGCCTCACTATTTTTTTTCAAATGTAACTTAAGTTCCTTAATGAGTTATTTCTTAGGGCCTGTAGAAATTGGAGAGATGGGGTGGGACTGGGAAATGGCACTGTAGAACAGAACATTTTGGTTTGTTAGGAATTGGGAGCAGAAAAGATAAAATGCTGCTCAAATGCTAATGGTTGTGTTTGTTGTTGGAGTCAGGGGTTCAGAGAATCTGTGCTGAGCAGCTCCCAAGTTAGTTGCTGAATGATGGCAGGATTTTTATCCCACTGAGGGATGGTATGAAACTGACAACAATTCAGCTATTCAACAATTCATCCTCCCCAGATGAATGATTTGTCTGGCTCCTTAGTAGACTGTAATTAAATATGACTATTACACAGCTTTAAAGGTTGTCAAGTTTACCTGTGAAGAACAGAGTAATCCCCCACCACAGAGGGGCCACGAAGGTGGATGCAACTGTGGTATATAAGTAACAGGAAGTAAGTACTTCATACTGAAGTGCTTCTGATGGAGTGGAGAAAGTTTTAATGATCTCCAGTATCTGGCAGATAAAGCCCAAGATCCTGGTATTAGGAACGTGAGTGCATGGGAAGCATCAGCCTTTAGCAGTGAGGATGATTAGTCACAAGGATGAAACTGGACCTCTGATATCTTCAAATCAAGACTGATACCCTGTCTGATCACAACACGTAAAGAGGAGTAGTTGGGCTCAGTGGTAGGTTAAGAGCATGAAATATGATGTCTTATAATACAAGAGAATAGACTGTGGTTTCCCTGCTAGGTTTAGTGTTTTTTGAAATCAGGAAGCAGCAAGTATAAATGATGTGAATTGGCATGGATGCATGAAACAGGTTGATAAAATAAAGCAACATGCTGAAATTTTATTTCTGAGTAAGAAAGTTTGAGAAATTTCCAGTTAGGACCAGTGTCCTTTGGTGCTAGGGTAGAATGAAGTTCATGGCTTCTAACAGGTGGTTGCTATTCATGTGAGGAGAGTGAGCATTGTAACCACTAGCATGGTACACATCAGTCTTGCCCTTCCAAGATTTGGCTGCCTGTATTTCTGAGTTAAGAAAGCTTTCCAGTGGAGGCACAGGGATGTTGCCTGATCTGGATGAAATTAATGCATTGCAGTGATAGTAAAGTAAGCCCCTGATGCCTTACATGGAGTTTCTTCAGCCACACTCCAGTGCTGATTCAGCTGTATTATGTTACAAATCTTTTTTTTTCTTTTTTTTTTTAATGGTTATGACATGGCAGATATATATGGTATTTTCTGGTTTTCTCTTTTTTAAAACTCTTTGGAAGCTTAATATATACTCAACGGACCACATAAATGAAGAACTAGACTTCTATCCCAGCTTCTTCTGCCCCCTTGCTGCATGGATCACTGTTGGCTATTAAAAATAAGTAGGAAGGCAGGAAGTGGAGGGATCTATTTCAGAACTATGTATTACTCTTGACTGTCTGCAGGTTTTTATAATTGACCTCTCATTGGGGTACCAAGTTCTTCTTCCAACTGCTTTTTCAGCTGTATTAAAAGATGAATTTATCATAACTTCTAAATTCAGCCTTCAGGAAGGGATTGAAGACAAGGAAAAGGTAATAGAGTAAGGAGCAAGGTGTGACATCAAAGAAAATGAATCCCAGAAATGAAGATGGTTAGAAGAATGGTGTGTCTTCAAAGTTCATGATAGCTTGATCATGCATGACAATCACAGTAGTTACAGAAATATATGTACAGTCATAAAGAATGTGTATATATATACATATGTGAAAGATATTAAATACATACAGTAATAAACAGAAAGGCATATATTATATGCTTACGTATTTTTTACTTGGAGAAGGTAACTCCAGGTCGTAATACTCTGTGATAATAGGCTAAATGTTTCTTTATTCAAGGGTGTTATTTGTGCATGTCGCTGTTTATCTTTGTGTGTGAGATAAAATTGTTCTCAGATCTCACATCCAGAATGAAAATATTTTAACATACTAATTAATGTTGAGTCCATATTGCATCTTAATGACCAACTCATCACTGCTGTGAGTGACTAATCATTACCACACAAGCCTAAAGGTGTTGGTGTAAGAGCTTTTTATTTATAGTGAACCTATCTCTGTAATTGGCTGTGGCTTTACAGTGGGAAGTAAATGTTTCTTTGCTCATTCCATCTTGGAATACAATGAGGAGGAGGAGGTCTGTGGTAGCTGGATTGCCTCCCCTAGCCCTCTTGGAAGTTAATGGTGATAAAAGATTTTTGTAGGACTGGCCAAGCTCAGTGCCTGAAAATGCACTTCACTTTAATTGTTTTCTATTTTTCTGTGTTGAAAGAAAAAATAACTTCCTGAACAGCTTCTGGTGGCCCTTCTTCAAATATCCAGGATTCTTCTGCAGCCACATCATGGTGCACAGCATTCCAGGAAGAAGCTTGGTGGGGCTGGTGCATCTTGAGCTACTAAGTGAAGGTTTAGTTCAGAAACCCTCTCTAAACTTAGTGCATGCTGAATTGGTTTTACTGCATGTGCAGTCCAGCCTTTGGTGACAGAAGTCAAGCAGCTGTTCCTGCTGTCTGTCTGCAGTGAATGATCTGAAGAGCTGCTTAATACTCACCAAAGTCTGCACAATCAGGTAACCTTACAGTGAGAATGCAACTGCTGGTCTAGTTCTGCAGAACTGTGCTGAAATGTCTGCATATAGGGAAGGGAACTGGATGATCCAGTGGGGGAAGTGAGTTCTCAGGAGCATGGGATCCAACCAAAATTGGTAACATAGTGCTGCTGGACTGGAGCAGGGAGGAAGCTTCAGTGGCTTTTCTAAGGATGACCCTGATGAAGGGCTAACATAGACTTCAGGTGCCGTTTTTCCAGTTGTACAGAAAGTAGAACAGTATGTTAAAAAAGTTAGCAAGAAGCAAAGAAATATATTCTTAAGAAAAGGTTCTCTCCAGTGCACACAATTAGATTCATAGAATGTCTTGGCTGGGAAGGGACCTCTATAGGTCATCTAGTCCAACCCCCCTCCAAGTATGAAGTGTGTCTTACATGGAGATGTACTTTTCCCTTGAACTAAGTAATTAATGCATATGAGCCACCACAGTCTCTGGTGAGGATATGTCAATACCTATCTTGGGAAAGACTACAATTACTCCCTTATAACTAGGAGCAACAGTAAATGAGTGGGTCAACACAGGACACTAACCACATCTATTAACAGTGCAGGACCAGGGAAGAAGTTCAGACTGTGCAAAATGGAATCAATCTTATGATCATACACACTACAAATAAAAGCATGGAAAAAATTACTGGGTCAGCTCTTGAATCACATGAACTAGCACAGCTGTATTATTTTCAGTGCAGTTGTACTGATTTATGCAGCTTTGGATATGTTCTCAGAAGTTTAAAAATGTTTTCCAGCTTTGGACAGACTGGAACTTTAGTTCAGCAACTGTAATTAAGTACTGATTTTTGGGTTGGCTGTTACTGCCTCTCGACTACAGATTAATTAATGTACCGTGACCAAATAGCTCTTTCTTTTCTAGCTGTAGCTCCTAGAATGTGACCAAGCAAACAAAATTTTTGCAGAAATTAAGTATTCTAGCAATAGTAAAAGTAATTAATCTAAGCCTGAGATGCTATGAGAAGTAAATTTTGTGAAAACCGGGCACCTAAGCAAGACTTATGGAGAAAACATGGATTTCACAAGAATATTCTCTGATAACTAATGTGGTACCTGTGCTTCACACAGGTTAGACTCTGCTTAAGCAGCAAGACCTTTAATGGTCTATTGCAGTTACAGATTAGTCAAACTCAGGAAAAGTAACAAAATTAATGAAATTTTATTGGGAAAATTCAAGTTGAACGTGACCTGTGTGACTGAACAGAAGCAAGCCTCAGTTTAGCTTATCAAAATACTTCAGTTTTCCAGCTGGATCTGGAATTATCTGTGCAAGAAAGAAAATTAAAAAGTTAGTCTAAAACCAAAACCACGCAAATGCAACAAACTACAACACCAGAACAGCACAGTATTCCATAATATGATGCTAAGGCCAACCCAGAAGCAACACCAAGGAGTAATTTAGGAGTTGACTTGACTTGATACTACATTGCTGTTTACCTTTGAAGATCCCTAACAGCAGTATCAGAAATATTGAATTAACTGGGGGAAGAGAGAGTGCAGCCTACCAAAGGAAGAATTTCAACAGTTGGGAGCACATACATCTACATTGCTTGCCCCAAAAGTAGGATGTTTTAGTAAATTAATGTCTGAAATCAAGTCTTAGAATTTACTTACAGTTCTTCCCTTGGCCACCACACTCTCATGGCTTCCTCTGGTTTGATCTAATTAAATCAAACACATTTAGAAGGCATGGCTATATCTTCAAGTATTTTTAAACTACTCTGTTATTTACATTATCTGCATCTTTTGCACAGAGGAGAAAGAGAATGCTTATGTATTGGTTTAGGTCTTCAAATAGGTAGTGTTGGACCTGTTAATCTCAGCATTTTAAGGCTGTTCTTTATACAATATGTTAATATTGTATTATTTAGGTAATCTATGGCTATGGAGGGTAGAACGTTTAAGTGCCAAAATAAGTCTGTTAGGCCAGCCAGCCCTCTTAATATCCAGCTTCCCCAGCTAAGACACTTTTCTGCAAGCTTGCATGAGGGTGACTCCTGACCTCAAGTCATCCTGGTAAGTTTTCACATCCAGCAATGAAATGTGGTGTAACATTCCACTGTTTTTCACTACTCTGCTTAGAGGCTGCTGGGACCTGCTTTTTATTGAGACTGCTCTTAAACAACAATGTGCTGTCATCACGAGATGGTTCAGAATAAAGCCACATGCTTGAATAAATGACAGTGATCTCATCTGAACTAGGCAGCTCAGACCTCTAGTGAAAGTTTCATTATTTCTTTGAGGCTTGATCGAAGCCCAGAGAACACAAACAAGTTCAATGTGTGTTTATCTGAACCATAGCTCTTCTGCTTGTTGTCACATGTAGGCAGAAGAGCTATTGTGCAGCAAAGCAGTGCTCTCTGCTGGAGTTCTGATACTGGCACACTGGCTCTGTCAGATAACGCAGCAGCCTGGGAACTTGCATCTTTCTTTCTGGGTAGTGCTTAGGATTCACAGTAAGACTTGACAGAGCCAAGAATGTTTATAAACAAATAACCAAGAAGACAAGACAGACTCAAGTTTCCAACTTTCTCTCACCGGGTGTTAACAAGAAAAAAAATTCTGGATCACAAACTCTTTGCTGCTCAAGAGAGCTTTGTTCACCTATGGGGAAAACTGGCAACAACTGGGCTAAGTTTAGTGTGAGGGCAACATGCTCCTAATGGAATCAGTAGTAATCCAAAAGCATAACTATAATAAGGTGTTTACTCATATAATCTCATTCAGAATTGCAAAGATTTTGGTTGTAGCTGTAGTAGAAATGGTAACTTAGTGTTTTCTAGTAGTACTTCATTAAATATAAACACTGACTTACTGTTTCACTGCCAGGTTTCCAACCAGCAGGGCAAACTGGAACAAAACAAAACAAAACAAAGGGACAGGTTAGTACAAGTATTTTTACACAAACTTTTTGTGCACTTAATATTCTCTTTCTGAGCTTGAAGTAAAGCAGCACATAAGTGTCCCATGCAAATATCTGCAACTATTAAAATACTCAGTTTTATTCATATGTTGTATACCTGGCATTACCTACTACTTCTATTAACTGCCTATCTCTGGAGGGATGTCTATCCCCTAGTTTAATTCTTGTGCCTGCCTAGACAAAGTAATGGCAAAGCAGTAGCTAAGAATGAACACCTAGTAGAAACAAAAGTTTCCTGATAAAATTCAGGTGACTACACAGAGCCCTATCGTTTGCTCTTTAAAACCAACAGTAGGGGAAATGTTCTAGCAAAAGGACGAGTTCAAAGATTCCACAGGAGACACAGTGATTTTATTTGAAGCCTTGCTAGGAGCAAAGGGATTACAGCACGCAGCTGGCGTGCAGTGTGGCTGAGAGCCCTGAGACCACCTGTACAGCTGCACATTCTGAAGCTCTTATTCATTTGAACTCTCTGCCTGTGGCTTTAGCCAGTTATTCCATATGATACTGCCTTCAGGCATGCTGGCAGATGAAATGCCACAAATGCAATCGGGAATTGAGGGGAACTTTTTTCCTATTCTCTGCAAAGAATCCAATAAGGTGCCTAGGGAGGTTCTCCTTGGCATTCATGCAAAAGTCAGTGAGACTCCACATACAGCTGGAAAAAAAAAAAGTGGTACTCTGGAAACACACTGCAGATCTATGTTCTGTAAGACAGCTTTGTAACTAAATAAGAGAAGCTAATTTTCCTTTGCCAAATGTGTGTAGCTTAAGTATCAGCATTTATCTTTTAAAATCTGTACAGCAAAGTGTAATAATAATTTTACCTTCAGATAAAGGTACTTTCAAATGCCAGGTGAGCTTTACTGCAAATGGAAGTTAAGCTGCTGAACATATGCATTAATATTTAAGCAAATATTTAAATAAATGACTGTCTGTATTTAAACACATTAGTTAAAGAAATATGAAGTTATTAACCCTGGGCTTGAACCAGGGGGATACAAATTGTGACAAAGTCATGATCTGAAGCCAGTGAAAGCTTCTTTGTTCTGGCAAGATGATCACATAGCTCTTGTAAAGAAAACACAAGTAATGGCAGTCTAACTTTCACATTATCACCATTATCTTGACACCAAGCTCTTTCAATTACTTGCCAGAGATCCTCAATGAATGACACAGGACAAGGATGGCCAGCATCTTCACTATTTTGTCAGTTGTTATTATGCAAAAATGTACAGAAATATCTGGCCTGATTCTTCACAGTCTCTTATTTTGTACAGATTTATGCTTATGACAGATGGTACATAATGCCTGAATTCAGACTATACAATGCTTTATGCTTTGCATTTTCATGGATGTGAAATAAAATGTGAATTACTACACTAGAAACAACCTATGGAGGTACCAGGACCACAGAATCTCGTAGCAGGGCAATTAAACCACTTCATTCACTGCATGAGGCCAGTCTCTAGTGCTACTGGGCTCCCCAGTTCAAGCAGGTCAGGGATTGCCAGGGATTTACTTGAGAGAGTCCAACGAAGGGCTGCAAGGCAGGAACACCTGCTTTATGAGGAAAGGCTGAGAGACCTGTGTGATGTGCTCTAGATGATCCTGCTCTGGCAGTGGGGTTGGACTGAACGATCTTTCGAGGTCCCTTCCAACCCCTAAGATTCTGTGACCTGGAGGTGTTTGGTCTAGAGAAGAGAAGACCTTAAAGTCTATAAACATCTGAAGGCTGGATGTCAAGGAGGGGCCAGTCTCTTTTCAGTCATGTCCTGTGATAGGACAAGGGGCAATGGATGCAAACTAGAACACAGGAAGTTCCACCTCAACATGAAGAACTTCTTTACTGTGAGGGTTACAGAGCACTGGAACAGGCTGCCCAGAGAGTTTGTGGAGTCTCTTTCTTTGGAGACTTTCAAGACCCATCTAGATGCATTTCTGTGTGATCTACCCTAGGTGGTCCTGCTTGGGCAAGGGGATTGGCCTCAGTGATCTCCAGAGGTTGCTTCCAACCCCTACCATTCTGTGATTCTGCGATACTGAGTATCTTTCTGCCAAAAAACCTACACATACAGCTCCTATCCTAAGTAAAACAATCTTCAACATGAAAGTATGTAAAAGAGCACCTTCTCCATGCTTGTCTGTGTACTGGAAGGCTTGTACTAAACGAAGCGTTTCATCCACTGATCTCCCAACAGGAAGGTCATTCATTGTGATCTGTCGAAGGACCCTCTTGTCGTCGATAATGAAAAGGCCTCTGTGAAAACAGTTTTTGTGTGTGTTAGGAAACAAGAACTAATTACAGTGTTGTGTTTACAGCCTATTTTATGTATGCTGGATGGCAGGAATTTGATCTCTCTCTAAATATCATACATACCACAACCTCAGAATACTAATAACCTGATATTCTTTACCTGGGGTATCAGGTAACATGAGCTGATGGCAAATTAAAACTAAAAAAGGACAGTTCTCTGCAGAACACAGAACTAAGCTTTGGCAGGCCTTGCCAGGGGATGTTGCAGATGCTATGATGTTACAGTGATCCCAAAAGGAACTCATCAAGTTTATGAAAGATGTATTTCTTACGGCCATTGGCCACCCTTAGTCTTGACTCCACTTGGATTTTGGAGGTCCCCGAGTAACTGCAATGCTGAGGAATTCTGCATGTTTGCCCTAGGTACCTGCTGAAGACTGCTGTTAAAGAGGGTATTAACTTCAACTCCTGTTCTGACTCACTACAGCTATTTTTTTTTGTGTTCTTCAATATATATTTTGTCTCTCAGCATAAATCCCTAAGTAAAAAACTACTCTCAAAGAAAAATACCAAATGCTTGTTTAGATATAAAGTAGCAAGGATTACTCCAGCAATAAAACAAAACAAAAAAGAAAGAAAAAGAAAAGAACTGTAACCACGTGAAATACCTAAGTGTATGCCCTTGATCTTCCAGATACACTCCATAATCCTTTGAAATTTGGTGTGTCAAATCTGAAAGAAGTGGAATCTTCATAGGTCCCAGTCCTCCTTGTTTTCGAGGGGTATTAATCCTTTGAAAGAAACGATACAGATATATTTCTCATAAAGGTTTATATTGCCTACACAAAGTTAAGTCACAAACCAGAACAGTACAGACAGAAGGATTTAGTGCAAGTGCCATTCTTCTTGTTGTGCACACAAGGGAGAGGAATACTATTTATGGTTTCAGCAAAGTGTTCAGTAGATCTTTTACATTTTTAGCCACTATTAATAGCGACCTCTCTCTCATCAGTCACATTCACTATATACCAATGTGCTCATGAACTTCAACAATGTAATGTGCTTACAGATACTTGCCTTCTTATCTGTTTTTTTCTTTTGAATTTGAAATATTTTTTGGACTGAGACATGACATATTTCAAGCAGTACATATTAAACATGATTCAAAGATAATTTCACATGCTGGGGTGAAAATTTTTACCATTGAAAAATATTTTACATTTTTGTATTAACAGCATCACGCTTTTACATATGATGATGCACCTACTTAGGCTACAAGTCTAGGGATTCAGTTCTTCAGCTAAGATGAACCCTGAAGTAATTTTTAGTAAAAGACAAGGACAAGATACGTACCATGCTAAGTGAGTGAACTTTGAGTCCACAGAACACGCTACCACTTCGGTATTTATGGCTCTGAATTCCTCAATTCTGTCACTGAAGGCGATGATCTCAGTTGGACATACAAATGTACTGGATAATTTAAACCAACATAAAGTCAAAATTTCATGAGACATCCAGTAAACTGCTTGACTTAAGATTGTGGATTTATCATACACTGTTTCAGCTTTTACTTTTTATTGCTTCTTCAAGTATTTAATCAAAATGCTGCCTGACAAACCTTCCAGCCTCAGACTCTAGCTTGGTTACAGTTTATTACTGAAGACAATTATAAGCCTACAGTTAGCTTACAATCTAGATGAAAGCGTTTTTACAGTTACGTTCTTTTAGACTTAATTAAGTGGCTGAATTTAAGCACAGTATCCCAGTTTTTTTCAGATGAGCATACTATCATTTCTTGTTACCACACATCTTCAAACATTAACTATTTTGTCTCAAACTTTTTCCACTACAGAAGAAATAAAGTGATAAAGATCACAACTTCTACGGCTTTGAAGCTAAGGCCTAAAAGCCATGTTATTTCCTTTATAATGTTAAAGTAGCATGTATCTCTGTCCTCTTCATTTTGTTGTGGAAAAAAATGGGACTGTCTGGTAGAAAATTGAAGGTGTTTTCATTCAACCAGTGAAGTTGCTGCATTCTAAATAAAGCAGGGTAATGTTAGATGTTCTTAAGGATGTTATGGGAAGAACTTAAAAGGAAAACACTACCTCTTAATGTCCTACATACACTTTGGTAAATATAGACAGGATGCTGTCTTTGTTTGCAGCAGTGATTTACAGCATCAGACAGAACGTACAGGTTGCTACAGACTTGTACGTTATTTTTTTGAGTGGATACACTAATCAGGGGACAACCTTATTAGGACAAAGACTGTGTCACAATTTTACCAGTGCACGATGAAAACACAAATGCAAAGAATATGTTTTCTTCTGTCGCTTCTTTGTTCACCCCCAAACCCTTACCAAACAAATAAGACATAAAAAAAAAAGAGAAAAAATAATTAATTACGAGTCTAGCACAGCTGCACTCAGTCTTGGCATGTCCACAGTGGTCTTACTTACAAGTCCAGAGGATAGAAGAAGAAGACAAGATATTTTCCTTCATAATCTGTTAATTTCAGCTCTTTAAACTCTCCGTTAATGACTGCTGTTCCTTCCCAGTAAGGTGCTGGCTTGGAGACTGAAATACACAGAAGATTGATTAAATGTTAGAATAGGAAGCACGTGTTCAAACAAAGCTGTTCATTAGCTAGCTTGACAAACAACCTACTGCACACAGCTGCAAAATGAAACTTTCTTACCACTTCAAAAAGTTCACAGCTGGCAGAGGTTAACCCCATGATGAAGAAATGCAGGTTTCAGTACACATGGAAAGTAAATCATGTGACCAACTTGTGCTTACACATGAGCCCTCTGAGTTACCGATAATCAAGGCCACACAAACCTTATCTGGGCCTACTGAACAAAAGACGTGCACCACCAGCTCACGGCAGAACATCTGTTAGATTGAAGGAAAAGCGGTTTAGGGTTTCAGGAACTCTCAAGTGCTTTGTTATGAACAGCAGTTGTAAATCAGAAGCATAAGATGGCTCAAATTCGTATTGTTACTTTTTAGCCATAAAAATCAACCTGGAATTCACAAAAAATATACACTACATGTTTGGAGACAAATGTCTAAACACACAGCGTGTGTTTATTAGTTTACAACTCCTAAGCAAACTGTAACTAAGACAGTTGTCTTTAAAAAAAAAAAATCCAAATAAAATGCATGAAATGCATTTACTATTCCTATCAAGAGGGATTAAGCTTGAATTTAAAATAGTAAAAATTATTCTGCCAAGTACTATTCTCATAGTAGTATGAACTCTCAAGGGATAGGGTATGCTGGAGATACAAGGTGATCTGAAACCACTTGTGATGTCAAGGACACTGACCTACAGCCCTGGGAAACCAGACAAATGCTGCTGAGAAGAATACAGATGATCTTAATTATTATCTGGATGAGGACTACGTTGTTGGAATTTCCTTCTCTTAGGAAAACTCACAGCTGCAGAATATAGTTACTGAGGATCTTCAACAAGAACTGCAGAAAACCAGCCCCAAATCTCCACAAGGGACACAGTAACACAAGTACAGGGAGTCAGTAGATATCATGGCTAATTTCAGTGTGAATTTTTTGAAGAAATGCTCTTCTGCTTCTCAAGTCTTCTGCAGAATTCCTTCTGACCAGATTTCAAGCTCCAGACTTCCAAATGTTTTTTATTGAGTCTTTGCAGGCAGGGGACTGTTTTTTAAGGGAGAGCAAGAATTCACCTTCAAGTTATTCTGAGCTGCCTACAATATTTCAGATGTTGCTCTTTACAAAACAACAGCACCCTTAATCTCATCTCTTTGCAGCAAAACATTCTCTTCAACTGACCTTCAGTTGACTATGAAGAAAGAAATTAAATATGGTGTATCTTGACCCATTTTCAAATGAAGGTGATAATTTTGGTTTAAAAAGACTTGTCTAAAATCCTGTAATAACTTTCACTGCAAAGGGAGGAAAACCAAACAGAAAAGGTTATGCATATCTTGACTGGTTTTCTGTTTTTCTCATAGCATCTGTCTGCAAACAGTGACAGCAGAAGCTGCGTCCTGGCTTGGTAGAGGAAAGGGATGCAAAGCTACACATCCTCACAGCAAAGGTAATTTTAATGTGACTTCTCTCCTTCCTCCATCCTACAAAAAGGGGACTTTCCGAGAGCTGCTGACCACTTCAGCAGTAGCCCCTGAACTGCGACTCAATCGAACAAGTTTGCACCTATTATAAAGTAAATAAATGACAGGACAGCGTGGGCACAACAGCAAGTAACGAGCCAAGCCCAGCCATGAGCTGCTGAGCCCTCTCAGAAGCGGTCGTTCAGCTTCTCTGCTCACAGAGCAAGCACACGGCGCTTCTGGATATTGTCTAAAAGCATTTACCTTAACTCAGTCGCAATTCCCGGAATCCCAGACCCTACTACACGTCTGCGAAACGATTGCAATGTAAGGCTGGAAGGGTCGGTGCGCGGGCCTCCCCTCCCGGAGGGGCCAGCAGGGCCAGC